CCACGTATGTCATGGCACAAAACCATTAAGCACAAAAAGCAAAGTAAAATGCTAGAGCTGAATGCAGGAGCGAAACAACATAGAAAAGGAACAAAATATATGTATATACAAGCACACACACACACACACACACACACACACGCACATACAAATATATAGAAAAGATGTAGAGGAAGCAGCGGAAAAAGCAGGAAAAAAATTATGCCCCAGACGCCGCTGAATTTTAAATGAGCCTTTATGGGCTTCATTTCAGCGTGTAAATTATCTCATTTGTCAGCAATTGCGCTCTGCGTGTGTTAGTGTATATATGTGTGTCTGTGTGTGTGTAGCTCAAGTGCTCGCCCAGACGGCCATGCCCCACCGCCCAGCATTCATATGCGACATGTAGTCAGCCATTTGTAAAATGATTCAATGGCGTCTCCTGACATTTAATGAGATAAGCGCACGCTTTGTGCGATAAGATTATGTTTTGCCCCGGCAAAGACCAGCCGTTGCGTATCAACATGCCATTGCCAGTATTGAGTGCAAGTACACTGAAGCCTTTAAGAACGAACTGCTCAGCGCAGCGCTCAACTCTTTGAGACAATCAATTTGCTTCGGCCCAATTTTGTTGCTAACTTTTGCTTAACAACTTTTATTTTCTTTACAAATACATCTAGACTACAAATAACTGCAAGAAATTTATACACAGTCATTGTCCGTTTTAAGCGTAAGTACAGTGAAGTCATTGCAAACGAACGAACAGCTTCTCACAGCTTACAACTCCTTCAGACAATCAATTGGCTCAGGCCAAATTTTGTTGCTACTTTTCGTCCAAAAACTCTTGTTTTCTTTATAAAAATCTTTTGCTGAAAAAATAAAATGTTTGCAAAGAAAATAAATGCACAAACATTTGGACTTTAAATATGTGCATGACATTTATAAACAGTTCAAAATGTGAATGTTTCATTGAAATAAAGTCAAATAGTTGCCATTCATTCTATAATATTTTTCTATAAATTACACTTAGAGAAAAATTTTAACTATGTGGTACCCAAATCAAGAACAAACTTTTTAAAAATGGATAATATTCTTAAGCTGGAATTAAAGTTTTTATTCTTAAATAACTTTTTTTTATCCCAAATTAATTCCAAACAATACTCAAATACAGAACGCAATGAAAAACAATTTTGTTGAGCGAATTTTAAGTATCTTCTTCTTATATTTTTTTTTAAGTATTTTGTTTTTAAAACAAGTTCTTATCAATTGAACGAAGAGCTTAAGAGTCGGCAAGAATTTATGAATGTCTATAAACAAAATGTACTTAAAATTTTTAAAGCCTTACTTTTTTTTCTATTATCTCTATTCATTAAGCGGACAGCTGCCTAGCAGATCCAAGTGCGTGTCTGCAGACCTTCCACCGTATATACATATAAATACATATATATATAAATATAGGTATTCCATATACAGCCACACATATCATCTGCAGCAATTGGCCCACACAATTCCGATCATAATCGCACATCGGAATGCGCTTACGCTTCGGAATCCGCTCGTTGGATGCGCTGAGTGCTTCTCATGAATGAAATGCAAACAAATCTGTAGCATCGCAATAAGCCCTAAAGGCGTTACCCAAGAGCCAAACCAAATACAAACCGCAGCGAAAGGGGGCCCGAAATATATTTATAAACACATTTAAGTTGTCACAAAGAGATTTTGCAGTTGGGGACTGTTTAACCAATATTTGGTTAAAATTTGGTCGGCGCGACAATGTGTTTATCAGCCAGATTTTATTTACTTGAACCGCGACCCTTGTCTAACCTAAGCCAAAAAAAAAGGTTTGAAGGTGTTTTAATTTTGAGAAAGTATTCAATATCTTAGCACAGAATACCCCATAAATATTAGCACTTAAATGAGAGAATATATTGATTATCATTTATTTAGCCTGAGTATCCCATAAAATGATGCTACACAATAGAAAGAAGATGAGTTCCTGAAAGTACCTTTTTGTAACGAAAGGCAATGTAGAAATTGGTTTTGGGAAACAATTGCTAAACCTTTTGCATGTCTAGAGCATCTTTGTTCCACATTGCAACTAATTTAAAGCATGATAAAATGCTATTAGACAATAAAAAATACAATGAAAATAAATTCACTTAACTCTTCTTCATATTTGAAAATATTCCTTTTGTAAACTTTTTTCTTTTTCATACAGCAGTCATCCGTGAAATAGCTCTTTAGAAATTCGCTTGGTTTTCTATGGGAAAAAAGTGTTGGTTGACTGCCTCAAAAAAATGGCAAAATGTTTGTAGCTCAAACTACCAATTAGTACTTGAAAATTTTGATGTATGTTTGTACAAATGTGTTTCTGTTATTTTTTATTTATTCTTTCTATTTAATTTTTTATTTTAGTTGGTTTCATTTTATTATAACAAACTTGGGTATGTTTGAGTTTTCTGTGGACAAACTCGACTGGACGTCGACATGAATAGCATACATAACTATGTTATATGTGTGTGCATATATCCTGTGTGTATATATATATATATATATATATATGTATATATGTGTGTGCATAACAAAAGCAGCGAAGTTCTGGGCAACCGGGCACCGTACCCACCTTTTGACAAGGGCATAATTAAAGCATAACAGGAGTAACAGCAACGCCCCGCAAACGTGCCCAAAACAGGCTCCACCAAAAAATAAACCCCCCTTGCCAGGCAACGTTACAGCTCCTAGCCAAGGCGCTGCGGATCAGGGCGTGGCGGCGAGAGGGAGGCGCGATGGCGGCGAAGGAAAGTCGAGGCGAGGCAAGGCGCACATAAAAGCGAAACCCACTACATGGGGTGAAAACAGGTTGTTACTTCCTTGCAAACAAGGTTCCGTTACCGTTATGCCGTTATATATGCATGTCTATTTGTGTGCGTGTGTGTGTGTGTGTGTGTGTGTGTGCGCGCGGGTTTGTGTGTCTGTAGCTGGCGTATAAAAGAAAAGCACGTTATTGCCAATTTAACTTACATTGTGCATGTGTCTTTAAACAAAGATTTATGTACCCACTTGCATGCATACTCATAGCTACCCAAGTATAATATATACAAAGTGTGTTATTGTTGTTGTTGTGTGTGAGTGTGTGTGTGTGTGTGTGTGTGTGTGTGTGTGGGCGCGGGTCAGGTGTGCGCGTAATAACTTGCTATAGATATGTGTGGCGCCTGCTACGTGCCGTGCCGCCACTTAAATCAGCATAATGATATGCACTTATTGTTGTGGCAAATTTGTTAGCGGATATGCTGAGAGAAGCGGCAGGCCAGAAGGACCGCACCACCCCACCACACAGCACCACAAAAGCCCGTCGCTGTCGATTTCTTCATTTGCCTAATACGAGTCGACGCCATCATTAATCTAAAATATGGCTAAGACACACGCAGGCACACGCTCACACACACACACGCAGAACCACTAACACAGAGAGACGTCTAACGATGTGCATGTAATTATGCTCAGCCACACACGCATTTACTCACTCACATTCACTCACACTCACTCACACTCATTCGCACTCATTCGCTCTCGCTCGCACTCGCTCGCACCCTCACGCAATTTGCGTAAGCCTTGTTAATCGTGACAAAAGCTTATTGCGGTTTATTTGGGCTACTTGTTTCACATCCGGCGTCAATGTCGCTGCCGGCAAAAAGCAAAATCAACACACACGCATACACACACACACACACACACACACACACACACATATATGCTGGCATGTAATACAGTTATATGGCCAAGCATATGCGAGTGCTTGTCTGGTCGCGACTGGTCTCACTGGCAGCGCGCGTCACTTGCACACACATAATAAACATTTTAAACATTATATTCGTGTTTAGCAGCAGCTTCTTGCCTGCTAGTTGTTGTTGTTGTTGTTGCCAGAAGCGTGCGTGTGTGTGTGGGTGAGCGTGTGTTTGCTTCGAGCAAAATTTACGGGTTTTAACGAATAATGGCGCTTGTGGGAAATGAACGTTTTGTGTTCGCTTCTGCTTGTCATCGCATCGCGCCGAACATTCGCAACGCATTCCAAACACACACAGCATTCACCACTTTATCAGCATTTTACTTTGGCTCTTATTACCACACACACTCAGTACATTAGGGCACACACTCAAACTCACACATACACACATGTGCACAGGCACTCGTCTATGAGTTTTGCGAGTCTCTAAGGAAATTAAAAAACAACTAAAACAAATTAACAATGTAATGACAAAGTCTTATATAGCTCACATATACATACATAAATAAACATATGTATATGTTTCATACATAAACAAGCTGCGGCTTCTTGAAAAAGAGACACTCACACCCACACACTCTCACCAACCCACACACAACAGCCAGCCTGCTAATAACGTATCGAGCATTCATCCCGAAAGAAAAAAATTGAATCACCTACAATGAGGCCGCCTGTGCTTTTGGGACCACCCACAGCACAATGACTATGTTAAGTATACGCCACGGAATCGAGCAATTCGCACTTGCGAATGGCAAACGCTTTTAATGATGATCGATTTGGGTAAACAATGGAATTTCCGCATTCAAATTTTATTGCCAGCAATCAGTGGCGCACTTTCCGGTCGCTTGCCTACACAATAAGTGCGTAATGTTAAATACAACAACACATTTATCTACCAAAATTGCATTAATCTATCAAGTGTGCCGCCCTTTTGCTGTTTGGTTAGCTAATTTTCAATAGAAATTGAATGATTGTTATTGTCAGAGCATATGTGTGTAGGTGTGCGTGTGTTATTCGGGTGCAGCAGTTAGCATACGCCAGCAAATTTATAAAAAAAAAATGTTACTTTTAAAAAAATAACGATTTAATTAACTTGAGGCACCCTTTAAAGCGCTGAGCCAAATGCCAAACAGCTGTTTTCAGTCAATACCAATTTTTGGTATATTTTTGAGGTATTTTTAGCAAAACACGGAAACGGTCACACTTCCTCCCAATTGTAAACAAATGAAGAGTGTTGCCAGATTATCGAATACTGCCATAACACAAATACCACAAATTTGTAATTAAACAAACAAGGCAATTAATTGTGTGTGTTTGTGCTCAGTTTATGTGCGAAATAATTGGCGGCCAGCTGTGCAGCGACTACATGTTCTAACTGATGTGCAGCAGCAGGAAAAACAGAGCGAGCAGCCGCGACACAAACATTCCAATGCACTTTCTCTCAATGGTGTAAAACCAGTCTTGCGGCTTTTTGTTGTTGCTGTTCTTGTTGTTGTTTTTGACATCTATTCGATATCAATAGAAAAATACAGGCCAAATACGTTGTCGCGTTTGTGCGATGTGTTGTTAGCAGACTACTAAGCACCTGTGTGCCACAACAGCAACAACAACAACAGCAATCAAGCACGCTGATTGCTGTTTTTAACCGTCTTTATTGGCCAGTCACATCTTGCCCACTCTTGAGTGCGTTTCTCGATACTCTCGCGCTTTAAGAATTCATAATTTGCATAAATTTTTGCTATATGCATAACCCAGGCCGAGCATGTTTCTCCAATTGAGTCATTACGCCACGGAATTTTGTGCTAAACGTAAGTTTGTCATTTCACCCAAAAAAAAATTAAAGAAGAAAATTGTTCTAATTCCGCTTTCACATTAGGCCACATATAACCATATATATCCTATATATATATATATATAAAACAGGATGTCTTCAATTGAGGAGAAAGTGCGCAGCATATTGAACGCCAAAGATCTGGGCGATATAACAACAGAACTATGTGATTTCTCGCTGAAAGAGCAGAATGCCACGGCCGAGGCGCAAGGCGTGCAGCCATCGGCGACGGCCGACTTTGTGCCCCAGGTCGGGCAGACGATCAACTATATTGTGGCCTGTGTGCTGTTCAATGAGCACGACGAGCTACTCATGATCGAGGAGGCCAAGCCCAGCTGTGCAGGTGAGTCAACCAAGCGATTTGGCAACGTTTATGAAATATGATTTTTTTTTCATTTTCATCAGGCAAATGGTATCTGCCCGCGGGTCGCATGGAAAAGGGCGAGTCCATCACAGAGGCAGCGGCACGTGAGCTGTTCGAGGAGACTGGCCTAAATGCGGAAATGACCACGTTGCTGGCCGTGGAATCGGCCGGTGGCTCCTGGTTTCGCTTTGTGCTCACGGGTCGCATTACGGGCGGACGGCTTAAAACGCCCGCCGATGCGGACTCCGAGTCAATTCAAGCTCTGTGGCTGCGCAATCCCAAAGAGGTGCCGCTGCGTGCCAACGACATACTGAGCATCATTGAAATCGGACGCGCCTATCATCAGCACCAGAAGCAGGCGCAGCAGCAGGTGAATGTGGCACACCAGCCGCAGTGGCATGGCGACGTGCTGCCCACGCGTCATCCGCACAAGCGCAACTATATGCGTGTGCTTGCCGTGGCACGCAAACGTGCCAGCAACTCGATGAACATACTCATCAGCGAGAAGAATACGCATCATTTTCCGACCGTCGAACTGCATCCGAATCGCAGCCTTCACTCGACATTGCGTAAATTCATGATTGAGATATTTGGCGCCGAGCTGCCGCAGCATCGGCCACACGGCCTGCTCAGCGTGGAGCATGCAACAAGCAGTGATGAATGCACCGATGGCATCTGCCTGAATCTGCTGGTGGCCTTTAGGCCGCCGCTCGAGGAAATTTCGCTAATTGGCAAATGCATTTGGCAGGAGCTCAGCCCGCCGCTGGACGAGACGCTGGCGCGCATACTCAGCAGCAAACATGCGTCCATACCCCTGAACGTGGTGCGATAGCTGCTTATCGACTAGTTCTAGCCTAATCTCTCTAACCAATGGTGCAAGCTCATATACATTTATATATATAACCTATAATTAGATAATACCAATTGCCACTTAATCATACAAATGTTGCGTATCAACTCATGAGACAGTCGAGTCTGTTTTTGACTTGGACTCCTACCTTTTAAATTAAATGTGAAACATTTTACTTGAGCTATTTGAGTTGATTTGTATTTTCTTTAATCTTAGCTCTTAAGTAGTAAGTGTTTTATTTATCCCTAAATCGTAAAGTTTCGAGCCGGGGCATAGTTTCTGCAAAGAATAATTGAAAAACAAAAACAACTAAGAAAGTTGTACAATGAATTTTATTGGCTATTTACAGTTCGTTGCGAAGTGATCTGTTGATCTGCACACGCAATTCACATATGTTCATGCAGAATCAACATTCTTCCTGGATTGGGTGTGGGTGTGGGTGTCCGTGTATGTGTGTGTCTCCAGTATTGTTATAGTTGACTAGGTCAATTTAGCATGCACAACGTTTACTAACACTTAACCATACATTTAGCCCTTCCAGATATTGTTGAATATCTCCATAAAGGAGTCGTAGATCATGAACGTAATCGCCACATCCAAACACACGCGTCCCAGACGCGGCACCGTGCCCTTGTAGAATGCCGACACGCCCTCGTTCTTTAATATTTGCATTGCACAGTCCACCGTACTCTTGTACTTGGCTGCCTCGAGGCCCTGCATACGGGTCTTAACCACATCCAAGGGTGTGTTGCCAAACACGGAGGCAGCTCCCGCAATGGCACCAAACAAACCCACCAACAACTTGGGCACCGGCTTCTTCTGATCACCGCCCTGCAAAGAAAAGAATTAAAGGTGGGTATATAATATAAATCTTTCAATTGCAAATTTAGAGATCAAACCAGGTTGAAATGTTAAAAAAAAAAGTATTGAAAGTTTTAAATCTGGGATGAAGTTAAGAATTAGAAAACCCTATAAGTCAAAACTTGTAATAAAGCTAGAGCTAGAAAATGAGTTCAATATTGCGTTTTACGCTATTATACAAACCCACAAATTGACTCAAATTTACGATATAGCCATGTCCCTCTGTCTGAAGTGCTTCTTTCCGTTGCACGCAGTACATATGTCGGAACCAGTTGGATCGGAACACTATATCATATAGCTGTCATAGGAACGATCGGTCGAAAAGTAGTTTCTTGTATTAAAAACTTTTTTGTTTATTAAGATATTTTGGCCATCCTCGGCATTTATTGCTTTTACTATGCTCCTCATATATTTGCAAAATCCTGTCAACATCGGACTACTATATTATAAAGCTGCCATAGGAACGATCGGTCAAAAATTAATTTGTTGTATGGAAAACTTTTTTGTTTTTCAAGATATCTTGACCAAACTTGCCATTGACACTATGTTCCCTACATTTATGAAAAATCTTATTTACATCGGAACACTATATCATATAGCTGCCATAGGAACGATCGGTCGAAAAGTAGGTTCTTGCATGGAAAACTTTTTTGTTTCTCAAGATATATTAACCATACTCGGCATTAACTATTTTCCCTGTGCTTCTTAGATACGGGCAAACCACTATGGACATTATGTAAAGGTTTGGTCTGCAAGGGTATTAAATCTTCGGCCTGCCGAAGATAGCATCTTTCTCGTTAATATTGAAATGCAAACAGAGTTAAAAAAATATTCAAAATTGTAGTCCTGTTAATTAGAAATTTTAGAAAGGTGTGAAACTAGTTTTGGAATTTTAGAGGTCAAAATGATACAAATGTGTACAAAATCAATCTTTCTGTCAGCAACGATTTAAAAGCAAATCTCAAATATTAAGTTACCTTGTACAGATCCTTCAACGACTCCATGACAAAGAAGCGGATGGCCTGATTGGAGCCCTGCTTCATGATGGTAGGCGCGAGACCCTTGTAGATGCCGCCGATGCCCTCCGATCTGACAATTTCACGGACGCCATGGGCGAAGCCTTTGAACTTTGGATTGGCACTGCGCTGATCGTTGATGAACTTGACCTTAATGGTTTCCATGGGCGTGACCGCAACGATGGCCTCACACACACCAGCCCCCAGGCCGCAGAGCAGCTTGCCTGAGGCGCTCAGCTGGCCCTGGGAGTCAACGAAGTTGGAGCGCAGGAATTCAAAGGCACCAAATCTGACAAAAAACATAAACTGTTTAGCGTGGCATCAGCTACGAACTCGAGTGGAAACTCACCTGGTTGCCGACTTGGGTATGCTGCCGTAGATGAGCACGCTGAGGCCTCGGTAGAGTCCGAAAAAGCCGCGCTGCTGGATCGTCTTCTTCACGCAATCCGCAATGCCATTGTAGCGCTTATTGACGCCCTTCTCGTCCAGCTGCAGTTGCGTCTTCACGTATTCGGTGGGGTAGGTTATGCAGATTTCAATGCCGCCGGTTATGCCGCCGGCAATAATACCCTTCAATCCCTTGGAGCCACCACTGGGCGCCGCGGCGGCACCACTGTTGATCATCCAGGGGCGCACCTGGAAGGGGCTCATGAACGTCGACAGTCTCGTGCGATCCATTTCAAGCTCTGACCTAGCAAAACCATGAAATTCGGAGAATAAGAACGCGATTAAGCTATTGTAATACATGGTTTTTGCCGTGGTCATAGGTGTTATTTGCTTGTATAAAAAAAAAACTAATTCAAAAATTCATCTACAAAAAATTTTAAAGGGCACGGGGCAAATTGAATAAATTGAATATAAAATCCCTTTCAGTGGGAGTATCTTGTCAAAGTAGGCAAGTTCCGTTCGTGCTGGAGGTGTGTAGGGGGAAACGGTGTGTGTGGAAGGGGCAAATGTGTAGCTAGAAATACGTTCGGGAACAAGTTCTGGAGGTAACATTATCATTGGATGCATAGAACATGCACTGATTATTCGAATATATCATCGGCATCCAAAGCACCTGTAAAAATAACTGACCAGCTCATAAAGTGTATCAGCTTTATATTTATATTCGTCAATTACCCACACTCACGTAAATTCTAAAAAAAAAAACGTATCTAATTAAATAAAAAAATTTCATCGAGTAGGTATTGCACGGAACCAATATACCCCTTTCTCACATATTCAAATTTTCCCAAGTACTTTGTTTAGGTTAGGTTAATAGCTAATCTATAACGTCTGCTTGTTCCGTGACAATTCATGATTTTATCGCGACGTTTTTCACCTTGAAATCAAAGTTCAAAATCGAAAACTATGTTGTGTAAGTCGTCGGAGCAAATACATAATGGATAGAAATGTGTCTATACGAGTTTGTCAAATGCTTTTGAAACATCTGCAACTGATTGCGATTACTTAAGATCGTATGACAGTGTTTTGAAATGAAACGGGTGGAAAAGGGAAAAGGGAATGCTAGAAGAATTCTCTTTTTGAGCTTTTTGCACTTGACAAGTTTATTTATTGTTATATAATTTTTGCAGTCACATAATAAATTATGGAATCTATAGCAATTATTTTGCATGTTTGTTCAGGAATTTCGCTCAATATTTATAACAATTAAACAAACTCAAACATTGCCGATAAAGATAAACAAAGTTTTATGATAACTTTTCGTTGGAAATGAGCGCACGCACACACACACTCACACACCAATTCCAGTAAGCTTCGAGTTGGAGAGCTGCGGCCGCTATTTGATCGGCATTTCTGATTGGAAACTGGTGCACTGTAATTCTAAGCCTGTGGCTGCAATTCAACTCACTTAATTATAATTGTATAAATGCAATATTTGAACCGCCTTGGCACTGGAACTCTTTGGTTGTTTCTGTATGAGCTGATTGGAATGCGACGGCGACGCGTTCGCGGCTAGGGCAGCGACTCAACTGCCTTCATGCTATGGAAACAACAAATTCCATTTTCCAATCACAAGAGAAAGCTACAAAAATTCAAATAGGCAGCACATTTGTAAACAAGCAGACACCAACCAACTGCTGCTGCTCACTGGCGATCAAGCGGCAAACCGAGAGCGCGAGCAAGTGGGAGAGGGAGAGCGTGCCGACGCGACGGCGGAGAGCTAAAGTAACGGCAATGGCGTGATACTGGATTTTTTTTCGTTTATGTCGACGCGGCAGAAAAAAAGATGTGCGCCTCTTAATGAGCAAACCCGTTTGGCCAAACTTACCGGAGCTTTTTCAACTGGAAAAGCTCGCCCTTGCACTAGTCAAGCGGAGCGTGGACAGAAATGACTTTTTCAAGTGTTTAAATAAGCGCGCAGTAAACAGCCGCAAAGTAGACAACAGTTTTTTCGTTTTAGCTTTGCAGCGATTACACAATGCAAGCACGCACACACAGGCACATGTACGTGTGATATGCTTTTGTTGTTGATTAACTCAAGTCATGCACCGTTATTTATCGTTCGCCAACGAATCGATATAAATGTTATCATTTAATAGCACATAATGTATGAGTGTTTTTTATCATTTACTATACTTTTTATTTAATCAGCAGACATTTGGATAATACTATACTCTATACTGGAACCGGCAAACTGTAACTGTTAACGCAACCAAATGCCGTAAGGTTAGTCACTGTTGCCCCCATAACTGGACTGCGCATGATTCACCCACACAAACATAGCTGTTCAAGTGCTGACATCAACCGTTACAGTGTCGCCAGGAAATGCGTGGGAGCCGCATAACCATGTGCTATGGGCAAAAATGTGTTGCATATGTCAGCGAATAACTCGAGATTCCTGCAATATGCTAAAAATCACATAAACGAATTGAATTTGTTCCCACGTAAACCTGATATAATATCAAGCAAAGCCGCCGACATACAATACTTCGACCCTGAACAAAAGGCAACATTATATTATCGAATACAATTTGAATATCGGCATAAAGCACGTGCGGTAAGGGCCCACCCAAGTACCCCAGGTTCGATTCCATTACCATATAAATCAGATCTAAGTTTAGCAGTAGTGCAGTATAATTAGGAAGACATATGTATATTATGCGACTTTAAGCGTGTAAAAATCCTACTCAAATGAAATAGCTCTATGTATATTAACTATAAATCCTGATGTTGACCATTTACAAGATCCATTTAAAAAACTTGAAACTTAAAGCGAAATATTAATTTTATTCAAATGCATTTTGAAATTTTTCACATGTCATTTACATACATATATTGCATATATGCATGTGTTTATAAATAAACATTAGAATTAAAGTGCAGTTCTTTTCATATTTTTGTTTGGTTTTTATGTTAATCAATAACAATATGTTACTAAGCTGGGAATTAGTTCGTAATGCAAATTTAGTTTAGACAGTTGATAATTCAGTCATGTTTTGCAGCCGAAATAGATGCTTAGACTGCCTTGTAGACACGCACGCTCTTCACGCTGCCAATGGTGAGGGTCTGTAAGAGAGAGAGAGAGATCGAAAGAGAGAGAGAGAGAGAGAGAGAGTTAGGATCGGAAGTACAGTTAGAGTCTGGCTGAACTTACGGTAATCAGCTCACTGTCGGTAAACTCGCGCACAATGGTCGAGGGCTTGTCGCCCTTCTGCTCCTGTGTCAGCTTGTTGCCATCGAGGGTGATGACACTCTTGACCTTGCGACCATCCAGAGTCTCCTCGTCGAACTCCTCGCCCAGTTTAAAGCTAATGGCAGAGGTCTTGAATGTCGACGTGGTGGTCAGTGTGTAGGTGTCACCCTCCAAGGTAACCTCCACTGTGGGGCTGACGGTGTTGCCCATTTTGCGCAGAACCATGCCAACGCCTACAAAATTGGGAAATTGCAGAATCAGTATACATATATATTGAATGAAAAACTTATACGCTTAGGCTAGTTTCAAATATCTGGATATACTAACTATACATAATATAGATTAGTGCATAAAAAAGTTGCAGGTTCGAATCTAGGGATTCTTGGTTCGGATGTATAGTATAGTTTTGTAGTCAGCGTCAGTTCAAAAAGCTTAACTATGTCCTATAATAATATGAATCTGTACATATATGCACTCAAAGAGCCTGAAGATTCGGGCAATTACTAATTGAATTACCCAGTCAAAGTTGAAGACCCACACACAATGCAAATCATATTGTATTTAATTGAAATAATCAAGCTGAATTATGAAGTTGCCAGCAAATAACCCGGGCCAGACCAGACCGAGTGTCATGCTCAAGGTTAACAATACGGGCCCAGGGAATATACCGGGGCAGACGGACGCACAGCCTCCGGTACTTATCAATTGGCCAGCCTAAATATAGCAAAACTGTACGAGCAAAGTAAAATGCAAGCGACCTTATCGCAATGCACAAGCGCATATAGTATACATGATATTGATATACATGTATATAAAAGGCATACACACACACACACACATATACATACATATATATGAAAACTCTAAAGAGAGGGGAGAGCGAGAGAGAGAGAGAGAGAGAACTGTGCCCCCTGTTGACCATCCATCAGCACAGACAAATCAATTATGCTCAATTATGTATTTGTTCAATTTTAGAAGTGGACAACCTTTTGGTCTCAAGTGTTTTATGGCTCGATAAGTTCCCACCGCCTATCTATAGATAATTTTTGGGAACTTTTACAGCTGTGCATAATCAATGTAGAACTTTTGTATATCGCTTCTTTGGACTGGAATAGATTAGAAAACAGTTCGCAAACAAAAAAAAATTGCACTAATTGTTGCCATACAGTAACATATTGATAAGGTGCAAAGTGCAAAAAAAAAAAAAAATAAAATTCATAATCTCAAAACTAAATTATCATTATTATTTGAGCTGCATATATGTATATGTACATATGTAGCTATAATGTTTATCATTTGTACTATATACTTTGGGTACACTGTCCAATCAGATAAATACAAGTATTATTGACGTTTCTCAACAACCATTTTCGAGAGTTATTTTCATTAAAAATCCGGTAATTCAAACCTCTTCAAAGTGTCGTTGGACGTTGAAAAACGAGATCTCGTTTGTGATTTGAGTTTTCCACAAACCACAAAAGACCGCAGAAAATAACAAAATAACCGAGCCACATAATGCGTATCGAATCGAATTACCAATTTCTCCGCCAACTTGGACTCAGACTAGACTAAACAGAACAAAGTTCGGCGGGTGTCTAAACAAATTACTGGATGACTAGGCGCACGTTTCTTTTATAAATTAAGTATGACTGATAATTAATATATGCACGGTGCAAAAAAAAAAAGCTTTAAAAATATAATACTAATGAACAAATGGTTTATTAATTTTAAGACCATTTCTAACTCCAAGGCAATGACTTTTGAAAGGTGATATATGGGAAAAATGGGATTTTAACGATTTTTTAAAAATATCTATACCTTCATCTTTCAATTTAACCTGTAAGTTATCTTTTCTATTTTCTCTTTAGTGATGGGAATTTGCAATTCCCCTGCTTGTGGGAAATATACTCTTTTTTTACAGAACAGAGTATAAATACAATATACGAAAAAATGCACAGACGTGCATCCATGGAATAGTAAAGTATAATTTAGTAATTAACAATTCAGGTGGTCGCAACTAATAGAAAACCTTCATTGAGTAAAGTACACACTTAATTTTAATTAGTTTTTAAGTTTATTGCCACATTACCTCCCGCCCGATAAGCATTTTATGACTTTTTTGTAGAGCTTTGCACCCGATTCGTCGGGTACTCTAAAAGTAACTCTGCCAAAAAGTGGAGCTGCGCATAAAACTGTCGAAAAAAGAACATGTTTTTTGCAACCACGTTTTTCGTTCTCATTGATTCTCCCCATCTTCTTTCTCTTGCACATCTGCACAGGGCGAAATTTTTTTTTTTTTTGCCGGCCGGCCGGCTAGCGGCTTTTTTCTGCCGTGTTTTGGGCTTCTTTCTCACGCTCTCGCTTACTCACTCCACTTTCTCGGCCACACGTGCCATTAAATACGTAATACTATTTGCAACATTACAGTACATGACCGTTAACAAAATCCTAGCTAATCACTTACCCAACTCCTTCATGTACTCATCAAAGTTCTCGGACTTGTCCAGTTTGTATTTCTTGCCAACGAAAGATGCCATTTTGCTGCGAAATGTGTTTACTTGGTTGAGTTACACGAGAATCAGACCACCACTGCTGAAAGCTCGCGCAAGCGGCCCACTTTTATACACGCGCACGGCATTGCCAGATGTGAAAACTCTGAATGAAAGCTTCCTTTGAGTTTGTTGAGAGCGTGAGCGTGAGCGTGAGCTTGCGCTGGGATACGTGATGGCAACACACATAAAGCGTTATCGATGTGAGTACATCAATTAAACTACAAATAAAGGTGGATATTTAAGTTTTCTTTTACCGTAAACAGATAAATATTGCATAAAGACAATAAAATGATGTATGTGTCATATTCATTTATTTGGGTGTGCCTATAACTATAAACTATCGACATCTGACGAGCATCGATAACTTTATAAGCTTTGACCGTTATATGCATTATACACAAGAATTTATATATATTTATGTATATATCTTAATCTATATTCATTTTATTATAAATAAGTAATAATCTATATGCATGAACATTTTGCGATCTTTGTGCTCGAGTAAAGTTTCTTTTGATTGAATCTTTTTGGCGCACGTTACTAAGAAGCACTACGATATATATATATATATATATGTATATATATATATATATATGTATATATATATATGTATATATATAGATATATGATATATATCTGCCACATACACACGTCAAACCCCACCCAGCTTGAGTTGATCAATTGCTTGCACTTTAATTGATTCAAACGCGCCGTCCGTACTATAACTGTCATAAGTATATCACGAATCATATGCTGTGAGAATTGCAAGTTCAAGTGGAATCTGTTGCTGTGAAAATCTACTATATATGTATATACTTATTCTACAAAATACCCATTGTGGGTCAACGAGAACACCCACAGCAATAAAACTTTGCGTGTTATTCTAAGAACGCTTTCAAATGTGTCATTGTATGTATGTGCTCGAATTTGGCAAATTGTGCAAATAATCTAATCGAGCATTCAAATACATTAAAGGCAATCGAATGCAATTCCACAAAGACTTTGTATGCCACGCTAGCCGTGTCTACCAATTTATATTTCATTGCTTTCTTATCTCATTAATTCAATTAACGTCTTCAGCATTCGTCCACTGCAGCTGAAGCCGTTTACTTATCTTGCGTTTCATAAAGATAAACATGTTTATAGCATGATATGCAAGAAAATATTTAAATTCAGTATGAACACAAAATTGTGATTTTTATTAAGTTTAATCTTAATGCACATGGTAACCCATATATTCTTATCAGCACCGATAATGTTCGCAGCTATGTTCCTATTTTTAAAACAAAGGTAAATATTGTGATATCGTGATATTGTGATATGCATATATATAGACTCATTTTGTATATGTTTTATATTCATTTTCACCTAGTTTATATATATATTTTCCCTTTTCAATTCACTTTGAATGCCAGTGTGACCATAGCTGTGAAGTTAAAACAACCGCGAAAGTGAACTGCTTTACTGTTAGCCCAGTTCTACACCAGTGTGGATAACAAAGCAGTGCAGTTCGAGACGAATGATCATTAGCCATGGGTACTCAAAGCGTAAGAATGCATTTGTTACGTCCATTTTGAGTTGAATCTGCAGTTATATATTTATTTATTAAATATACATATGTTTGAACATCCGTTGTTCTTTAGTATGCAGTAAGTTTTGTTTTACTTTGCTCGTTTTTATCTGATAATAGCTTGAATTTGCAGTTAATGCAAGTGTATATGGCTGATTAAATGTGCATATGTCAATCATTTGAGTGAATATGCCGGCCGGTATTGATGCTTATCGAAAAGTTATTAAACAAAACTGCAAAATCAACAAACATGATTATCAACATTTAAAGAGTCAAAGAGAAAGAGTTGGGGAGAGTCTTGGAGAGCTTGTGCATTCGTGCTGTTCAACTAAAATCTCTACAGTGTAGAGTCTACACAACCATTGAGCGCGCGCGAAGATCAGTGAGCGCAAGCTTGTTGGAGTAAGAAGAGCAAACAGTCGTTTAATTACACTAAAACAACGGTAGTCGGTTGAGT